CTGACACTACCACAAACAAGCTAAACTTTGGTAGAAAATGTCATTTGAGAAACACAATTCTCTTTTATAAATGTAATGCTGGATCAGAAGTTAACAGATGACAGCAAAATGTAATCCATACTGTTTGTCCCCAGCAGCTAATTCAATACACAGTCTTTTTAACAGGAAGATTCCACATACACCTACAGAGGCCATGGATGTAGTTATAACCCTTTAAAGAAGCCATCTGAACAGGGGCCACCACATCTTGTAGCAAGGGAGAATTGTGGTTGTTTCCTGTCCTGACACTACGGCTAATCACTGGAAAACCAGTATGAAAATTCTGTATGAAATAACAGTTTCTATTGGTATAAACCTCTATCATGTTCATTCCTTGCTGCTCCCTTTTGGTGTGGCTCAGTTTATGATCTTTCATCTGGCTTTAGGGATAACATGGTGCTTTCAGTTATGTAATCTGGTATGGTTATGTTTATGCTATAAGAAACCTTGTTTAGCTGTGTGAAGGCCAGACACCCAACACTAGTCTCTCTAAGGCAGTTCTGCATACATAGAACTGGAAAAATATAATTGTTTTGTGCTTCACAAGCTCACATTTTATTTATTACTTCTTACTGTTTTTGCAACCAGAGTCATAAACAGCAAGGCAAGATCACATTGCTCATGCCATATTCCAGTTTGAGAAAAAATGTTTTCTTTTTATGTAATGCTCAGACACCTTGTCAAAGAGGGGCTTCCATTCAATCAAGGAAAACAAAGCTACTGGCAAGGAAGTATCTCTTACCAATACATTTTTAAGTTTGATATCTCTGTGGACCAACCCCTGGCTATGAAGAAACCGAATCCCTTCAACTACATCCAAGGCAATCTGCAGCCTCGTCTCCAATGCCAAGCCAGCCTGCAGGGAAAAAACAACAACAACATAATATTACCACTCATTAATGGGATTCATGTTTAACTACTAAGTAGCACTAGTTACTCCAACAGAAATCCCTTAGAAATTCCTCTAAGCATATTAGCACAAGTAGGTCAGAGCACAGAACTTGCTTGGGCTTTTCTCCTGAAGAAAGACTTAGGGAGCAATACTAAGCAGGTCTACTCAGAGGTAAGTCCCTCTGCCTTTCTCCCAGGAAAGTGTCCTTAGGACTGCAGCCTTATAGCTGTAGCCTCACATGGCTAACAATAGCCAGTTGCCTGCTCACCCCCCCCCCAATAATAATTTCATTTGTGACCTGTTTGGACTGCCAAAAAGGACAGAAGGGATACAAGCATTAAACTACTTTATGTATATATAACAAATCAGAAGCTTCATTTGTGATCAACTGAACATTAACCCAAGATTTCAAGTGCTGCTGGCAAAGGCTGAGGAGGAGAAAACAGGATTTGAGGGTTAAAGTAGATGAGATACTGGGACATCTGTGATTTGATCCTTTTGGGAAGAAAGACAATGACACATGAAGGGAAAGAAAATCCCATTTTGCCTCTTTTGCATCACCAGCTCTTCTGCTGCTAACAGGAACCCAAAATGTTATCCCAACCCCAGTGTTGTGAGTTTTGTGTGGGGGCTTTTGCACATGTTGCCATTAAATTGGGGGAGGGGGTTGCCTCCAATTAGTTATTTTTTCAGCTGTGACTGGCCACATTGTGCAGATTTTCTTATACACACAAGATTCACCCCTTGGATATTACATATAGGAAATGCAGCGGAATACGTTACTTATTCAGACCGGGATCATGTGAAGAAGAACAATGTTTAATCCTTCTACACACACTCTCAACATACCCTCTATAATTTCACCTATCAAAATTAACCCCACTTCCTGCACAAGTAAATTATTTTGGGAAGGGAAAAAGATGGGCATCTCTGTCCCTCCCCCTTTTCCTCCCCTTCTAGGGCTAACAGCAATTACTTTTTCAAAATGCTGGAGATAACAGATCACAGATCACCCAGCACTTTGTCTAGACAAAGATTAGAATAGTATGAGAAGAACAAAGCTACAGGAATCCAAAACCATGTAATTCACATATAGCATAATGTGAGAAATACGCCTGCAACTAGAGAAAGAAACACAGAGGTTAACTATTAATACTGCCCATTTTAAGGATTGCCATTTCTTGCCTTCAGTCCTGTATAGAGGTCTCTGTGCAACTGTTCCATTATCAGTAGAACAGCAATGTTGGAACCTGCCCCATACCCATAATCTATCACTGATCCATGAAGGTCTACCAGCCGCTCATGCTTTGGCAAAGACCTAGAGAAACAAACAGATACAGAAGAAAAGTAAGAAACAATGCTGATATATGATAATTCTATGTCCATTTAGCTCTCTCTACCCCCTTCACACCTCAAATACTGAAAAAAGAGGTACCAATCAGCCAGCCCACCAAGCAAAGCTAACTTTTCCCAAACCTTAATTTTGGCAACTCATTCCCCAAACAGCAGAAATTATGCACTGGGTACCATCACTCTTTTTTAAAGTTATGATTTCACAAAAGAACTGCATCAGAATTCCAACTAGTCCTTGGTACATAAACAACATTTAGTGTCAATCTTCAGAATAGATTGCTACAAGAGAGCTTATCTATTCATTACAGAAAAGAGTTTAATGGCACATACCTCATGTAGTGAAACTCAAGCGCAAGGTCATTCCAGTGCTTTTCATCTGGTGGGACCACAGACTTGAGTGCACATGGGAAGTGGCCTCCCCAGGCATTGCACAAGTAAACCACTCCATATTGCCCTCGGCCCAGCTCACGGCCTAGCTTTGGTTTACCTGAAACAAACAGCGGCTCTGTCAAGCAACGGCACAGAATCCCCACTGAGGGCATCTCAGTATGTAAGGTATATCAGCAGTACTAAAAGACGCACTGAATTGGCAGTACTGAAACCCAATATGGATACACTACAACCCACATGGTAATACCTCCTGGGATTAATCCAGCCTATTATTAGCGCCAGAAACATTAATTCATTAACTATAATGTATTCATTCTACGTTGTATGGAAGTACAGCATTAGGACTGATTTCCTTCTTTATGCACCAATAATCCATGCGACGGTCACCTCAAGGCTGGACTACTGTAACACTCTCTACTTGGGGCTGCCTTTGTCGCAAATCTGGAAGCTGCAGCTAGTGCAGAATGCAGCAGCCAGGCTGCTGACGGGTCTCCCTAGGCGGGACCACATCCAGCCTGTGCTGAAGGCGCTGCACTGGCTGCCAATAGCGTACTGGATCCACTTCAAAGTGCTGGTTCTTACCTTTAAAGCCCTTTATGGTCAGGGTCCGGCATACCTAAGGGACCGCCTTTCCCCATATGTTCCCCCAAGGGCACTACGGTCAGGGGGCCAACATCTTTTGACTACCCCAGGCCTCAGGGACATCAAATTCGCCGAGACTAGGGCCAAGGCCTTTTCGGTGGCGGCTCCTACCTGGTGGAATGAGCTCCCAGAGAAGATCCGGGCCCTGCGGGATCTTGCGCAGTTCCGGAGGGCCTGCAAGACGGAGCTCTTCCACCAGGCTTTTGAGTAGGAGCCGCTGCCACTACTGTTCCATCAATGCACCGTCGCCGAAAATTGGCAGAGATACCATCAGGGTGCAATCGGGCCCTGGGAAGAAGACTGGCTATCTGCCGCTTTGGAACTTATGTCGTTAGTCCAGATCCACCCTACCGGGACCCATCTTGGAACTGGGAACATAAGAGCACCAGCACTTTGTTGTACTATTGTTATGTTTTTATCTTGTTTTAATTATGGCTTTTGCCTCAATTGTTAGCTGCCCTGAGCCTTAGGGGAGGGCGGGATATAAGTTGAATTTTATTTATATATATATA